ACGAAGAACGTGGAAAACCACCGAAAAGTTTGAAGACAGCGAATTGCATGTTGGATAAGGATGACGCTCAAACTCAACAACAACTCGCGGATCAATTGAATGTGACACGAGAAGCCGTCTCCATACATTTGAAATCCATGGGAAAGATCCAGAAGATGGGAAAATGGGTTCCACATGAACTGAATGAAAGACAGCAGGAAAACCACTTGCGAAATGCTGCACGCCAGGTACAAAAGAAAGTCATTTCTCCATCGAATTGTGACTGGCGAAGAAAAGTGGATATATTTTGAGAATCTTAAATGTAAAAGATCATGGATAACTCCAGGCGAATCATCGACTGCAAGACCAAATCACTACGGATGGAAGACAATGCTCTGTGTTTAATAGGATCAGAAAGGTGTGATCTATTATGAGCTGCTAAAACCTGGCGAAACCGTTAATACTGAACGCTACCGACAACAAATGATCAATTTGAATCAAGCTTTGTGTAAAAAACGACCGAAATATCAAAAAAGGCAACACAAAGTAATATTGCTTCACATTTGATAATGCACCATCACACACAGTAAAACTGGTCAAGGAAACGATTGAGTTGGGAAATACTTTCGCATGCGGCTTACTCACCAGACTTGGCTCCGTCCGATTACCACTTATTTGCATCGATGGAACACGCACTTGCTCAGCAGCGCTTCACTTCTTACGAAGATGTACGAAAATGGCTAGATGACTGGTTTGGCTCAAAAGAGCAACAATTTTTTTGGCGTGGCATCCACAAATTGTCAAACAGGTGGAAAAAATGTATAGCTACCGATGGCAATACTTCGAATAAAATATTTTTTATCATTTTCATGCAATAAATGTGTATTTTCTATAAAAAAATTCCGGTTTCATATTTACATACCTGGTATATAATACTATTGCAGATATAAGTGAAAATGGATGATAGTTTAATAGTGGTTCGATAGCTATTTGAAAGCTGTTCAATAGATATACGTTTAATTGCGCTTTAATAGATTACGTAGCGTTGCAAGTGTTAAAAATGCTGAGGTGGAATCTTTCGAGCGCAACGTCTTCTCGTCTACTTTTTGGCTGAAATATTCGTTTTTCGAGACATTGTACTTTTTACCGCTGATATAAAGTATTGATGGTGATGATGATGATGATGATGATGATACAATATTATAACTATAAAATGCTGATGAATGCTTATTCATGAAATCATTCAAATGCGTGATATACTTTTTGATTGATATAAACTTTTGACCGAAGCATTGTACTTTTACTCCTGCTATTAGGTGTACAATTTTGCTTCCGCCGTTTTTTTTCCGAAATTCGAGGCTTTATTGTAAAAAACTGATTATACATTTATGATTCAAAGTATGTATTGTCCATCGCTGGCCACTACTTTCTCCCATCTTTCGGGTAGCGTACGAATCCCGCGTCGAAAAAACTGGTCATTTTTTGATTCCACGAATCGATCCAATTTTCTACTTCTTCATAAGACCGGAAGTCTTGCTGGTCAGCCAGGCCGTGTGCCATTGATCGAAACAAGTGATAGTCAGAGGGAGCAACGTCTGGAGAATACGGCGGGTGGGGTAGGACTTCCCATTTCAACGTTTCCAAGTATGTCTTGACCACTTTCGCAACATGGAGTCGATGATTGTCATGCAAAATCACTTTATCGTGTCTCTCGTTGTATTGCGGCCGTTTGTCTTTCAATGCTCGGCTCAAATGCAATTGCGTTCGATACCGATCGCCTGTGAGTTCAGTCGGTTTTAACAGTTCATAATACATTACGCCGAGCTGGTCCCATCAAATACAGAGCATGACCTTGGAGCCGAATATTCGGTTTGGTCGTCGACGTGGAAGCATGGCCGGGAACTCCCCATGATTTTCTGCGCTTGGGATTATCGTAATGAACCCATTTTTCGTCCTCAGTCACAATGCGATGCAGAAATCCCTTCCATCTTTGCCTTTCAAGCAGCTGTTCACAAGCAAACAAACGCCGTTCAACATCTCTCGGTTTCAACTCGTACGGCACCTAATTTCCTTGCTTCTGAATCATTCCCATGGCTTTGAGGCGTTTTGAAATGACTTGTTGAGTCACTCCCAATGATCGTGCCAATTCTTCTTGATTTTGACACGAGTCTTGCTCAAGTAATGCCTTCAATTCTGCATCTTCGAAAACCTTCTCTCTTCCATCGCTATGCCGGTCTTCGACATCAAAATCACCGTTCTTGAAGCGTTGAAACCACTCACGACACGTTCTTTCACTAATAGTGGCCTCACAATAAGTATTTGAGAGCATTCGATGAGCCTCAGCCGCAGATTTCTTCATATTGAAGCAAAAAATTAAAACCTCCCGCAAATGACGAGAATTTGGCTCGTAAACTGATATTTTCAAGAATAACTTTATGATGCAGACACAAATTGACTAATGTTTCTATGGGATTATGTTGATGCCCAAGTTTATTGTATGACATCTATGATCTATTTATTTCGATCACTACTTACCGCTAAAGCCATCTATAGGAAAACGGCGGAAGCAAAGTTGTACACCTAATAGTAACGAAATTATATAGATATAATAAAAATATCATCATTTAACAGATACAATAAAATATAAACAATTTATATTATTATGAGACAACATTGGATAGTATCGGATAATCTAATCTCGCTTGGCCGATGTCGCGCGTCGTGATTAGCCTAATATTCGGACTATGTTTGTACGGTTTGCGAGTGTTCATTTTACTTCTAATCAAAAAGAAACAAAAGAACATAGCTAAATTATTTTTACGTTATAACTTTTTTGAACTTAGTTGGATTAAACGAAAAATTTTCTACTTAAAATTTTGAATAATTTAATTTAGCATTTATGATCCATTTTTAAATAAAAATTTTTTTATTCAATTAGATTGAAAAACTGCATTTCATACTCAGAATATTGAATTGAACAGTATTTACGTTGCACAGAAATTGCTATTATTTTTGAATTTAATTAAATTAAAAAAAATAGTACTTCACAATTCTAAATAGTATTCACGATGTGTATCGAAAATGCTAATATTATTTTTAGATTGAAAGGCAGAGACGCTCTATGCAATTCCTATAAATGAATAAAAATGCATTCAAGATTGAAAAGGATTCATTTTAATATGAATCCGTATTTCTGAAAATCTGAATCCATTTTAATCCATTTCAATTCATTCTCGTTGCTGGGAATAGCCAATGTTGTTAGACGGGTCGGATTTCAGACGCATGCGCGTCCAATGTAGCTTCACTAGTAATGTCATTAGTAAATAGGAGATCATTAGTCGCTTTGAAAATGTTGAAAATTTTAATATATTTTACATATTTTACATATATATATATATTGGAAGTACAAATTAGTTCA